TATATTTTTTAGATTTTTTGGTTACAGTATGAATTATTTAAGAGAATCTTTGTTTAAAATTTTCAACTCTTAGTTATAAAAACTGAACATTTTATAATTTTTTAATTCCAACGATTGATAATTTTCGAGATTTTGATAAATTTAGTCAAAATTCCAACTTTAAATGCTTATAAAAAAAAATCGTGCCTATTAATTTTTAATATTTTTCAACTGATATTGTAACAATATATCAGGAGCCTTGTATTACATTTTTACACTTTTTGGCCCAACAGATAAAACTTTAATGATATTTATAGAAAAAAAAACTAAAAAAAATTGAAATCTGTAAATGTCCATAAACAGCTCAAAAAGAGTCAAAATATTTTCAAAATTGTATGGTGTATAGAAAATGCTAATTTAAACATTCAGTGAAATTTTCATGTATCTACAGTTGTTCGTTTTTGAATTACAACAAAATAAGGAAATCGTTACATGAGAAATCGAGTGAACATCCAATGTTGTAAAAATTTGAATTTCAAACGCTCATAAAAATTTAATTTGACTGTCCGGTAGAGATTTTTTTATTGATAAAGGTAGACAAACTTATGAGTAATCTTGTATTACATTTTCAAATCTTAGATTTAAAAAGAAAAATTTTTGCGAATTCTTAACTCAAAATAATTTGCTAATTTTCGTGATTTTTCCATATTTTGTCAATTTTTGAACTTTAAATGCTTATAAAAAAAAACTGTGACTAACGATTTTTAATATTTTTCATCTGCCTTTGAAACAATATACTAGGAGTCTTCTATTAAATTTTTTAAGCTTTCGCAACCAACAAATACAATTTTATTGATATTTTTAGAAAAAAAACTAAAAAAAAATGGAAAATGAAAATGTCCCTAAACAGTTCAAAATAAATCAAAATATTTTGAAAATGTTATCGTGTATAGAAAATGCAAATATAAACAACCAGTGAAAATTTCATGTATATACGTTCATTTGTTTTATAGTTACACCAATAACCAAAATCGATTTTTTGGAAAACCAATTTTGCGTAAAAATTCCCGTTTTTCCTTAATTTTTATGTTGTTTTTCCCGGTGCTTGTGAAAACTACTGGGAAATTTATACTTTTGACCCCCCAAAGTACCAACTAGATTCACTTTCCTATCAGAAAAGCTACTGATGAAGAAAATCCAAGCACTTTTACTGTCCTAAAACGTGATGACAGACACAAAAAAAAATTAAAAAAATAAAAAAAAAATAAAAAAACACACATCATTGTAAAATCAATACATTCATCGTTTCACTCAGAATCTAAAACAAATATATATACGTACCAATGGAAGCTATAAAAATTATAATTATAATTAACAAGTTATTTATTATAACTAGGTAGTATACAACTTGGTTCAACATTTTCAATAGAGGGACTTTTATTTTCAAATGTAATAATTAATGGATTTTTTTAAATATGATAGGAAAAGAAATTGCAAACCAATTACATAAGTGAGACAGTACAATCTGCATTGACAGTCGCTTTAAATTATTTGCATTATATAGTTTGACAAAATGCATACCTACTTGAAATAAATACTAAATATGGGATTACGACTGATGAGCCTGACATGGGGACGACTGACGAGTCCCTCTCAAAGTCTCAACAATGAGTTAAATTATTAAGGAGTCATTCTAAAAAGAGTCTGGTTCTTTAAAGTTTAAAGTAATTAAAAATAAGAATAATTCTTACACAATTATTGCGTTACCAATTATACATTTACTTAACACAATAACATTATTGTATACATTAAAATTAAATTGTCGAGACTTGGTTATTGATTAAAAAAATATAAATAATTTTTCGGGTTTTTTTTTCATTTATTCCACCATTATTTAATACAGAACCATAAATAATAATTAATATATTAATATTTTATTATCATTATTTTTATTACGTATTTCATTATTTTTTCGGCGTTTTCTGTGTTAAATTTTGTATGTAAAAAACAGTATTTTAGATTCTACGTATCATTGAATTCAGATTTAACACTTCCATCACAATGACCTACACAACGACAAGTTTCACTTGACACTTACACTATACAGCTAAGAGTAATATGTACTAGATCCATGCTTGCCATCAACTTTTTTAAAAAATGTTTAGCAAATCAAAATTCTTTGTAATCACTACTCCCTTTGCTGTATGAAAAAGTGCCTCCCAGTGGCCGAATGTCTAATCAGTACTACTAATTGGCAATTTTCAATAAAAAGTTTATCTGTTTTGAGTTTTGTTACAAAAATACATGAGATAGGTACAATGAATAAACTTGTCTTCCGAAATTACAAAAAAATAGTGGTTATAGCATTAACAAATAATGACCAAGTACTCAAGTGAATATCTAAATAAATCAAAAAAAATTTTAAAAATATGTAGTGAGAAAGTAGCGAGCTACATTTAAAAAAAGTAACTTTAGCGATGGCAAGCTACTTTTAAGGGGGAGTAGCAATAGCGTTGGAGTGCTACAAAAAAACAGTAGGGTCCCGAACACTGCGCATTTCACATAAAGTTATAGTTTATTACGAAAATTATCAATACAATAAAAAAAACAACAATGACATACTTTGTACGGCTCCTAAATAAAAAATACAAATATGTTTATACGTGATTAATGTTTATACTAGTTGGCTTAAAATTAAACATAATATAAAAAAATTGTTATAGACATTTAAGTTACTATTATCATTAATAAAACGTTAGAAATAATATTTAATTTTCATATTTTGTCAACATAATAACCATTTACAAAAAACAACTACAAATATTTATGTTATGATTTTATTGGGATTGAGATGAATAAACTAATACAATATGATCAGTTTACATGTTAGTATAATAAATATTCAGTATAATTATTAATTATTAACATATTGGTTCTTATCTTCTATAACATATATTCACTCAATATAAACAATTCTAGTATTGTAATTTCAACTTTGTGAACATAAGCATAATTTATTTTAATGCAATATCTAGATTTTAAACAGCACACAAAACTATATCTTAGCTATGCCACTCCAAAACACTCAGATACGATTTTTTTTACGAAACTTCCTCAAAATTGTGTAACAACTTTTTAATGAAACTAACTGACGATAACATTATTTGTAACTTACTATGCTCGTTATAAGGAAAGAGTTCGGAGTTTTAATTTTTGATATCAATCATATCCATTTTTTTACCTATACTTCCAAGAATAATATAAATAATAAAACTCATAAATACTTACCAACTTGATTATCTATATAAGAACAAATATTATAAAGCTTGCATTAAATCTCTTCGTTTCTAGCAGATCTATCATTGTTTATTTGCTTATTTTTTTTTGTGAGTATTAATAAGTTTTCTTTCTGTTTTGAAAATGTAGTTGGTGTTTCAATATAAATATTTTTTTACGATTTGGCTTAGTTTTTAACATGGTTGTTGGTTGTGCTATCCCCAGGATTTTCCGCAGTTTTAAAAATATCCTTATAATGTTATGTGCTTAGGTACTGCTTTAAATGTTGACGCCTAGTCCGATCCTATTTAATGTTCGAGGTTACCGGACCACAACTCGTAATACGTATTGTGGTATGGATCACGGTAATCTTAAATTGTAATAAACGAAAAGTATAGTATCAGTACTCAGTGGCGTACCTGTGGGGGGGGGGGGGTGAAGGGGGCATTCGCCCCCCCCCCCGTGGGTCGTATAATTATATGTGACAATATATGAGAAATGTCCATTGTTAAATTTTTTTTGTGTTTTTTTTTTTATTTTTTTTTCATGAAGTCAATAATAATAAATGATAATTGATAACAATGTTATCATGTCATGATCAAGCCCTAGATTTTAAAATATTTTTGTTATCTATAGTCGAATCAGGTATTATCATTTTGTTTTGGCGGTTCGACCACAGAATAGATAATAAAAGCATGTGATAATATATTTGTAGTACTCAATATTATTTTTAAAAAGCAATTGAATGCTTATCGCTTTTATACTTTCTACTGCTTCAGTACTTTAGTTTAAAAAAAAAGTTCTTTAAGGTCAAACATTTACAGAACATATTATTATTTATTAAGATAAATTAATAATCTACAAAATTGGCTTATAAATCTAGGCACCTAGACACTTAGTACCTACCTGTCCTACCTACTGCTTTTTAATTATTTAAATTTATTATTTGTTTTATTTTATGCTTGTGCTGTAGACTAAAAACATGGCTACGTTCAAAAATGGGTCAGGATCGCTTATGCGGGCTTGCACTATTGCACATTTATCAAGAAATAAATATACCAGTGGACGAAATTATTGAACGATTTTCTCGTATGAAAAACAGAAAGCTAGACTTTGTATTATAAATTATAATTATAATAAAATTATTTTATAACATACATTTTACTATATTATTATATTAAACAATAATTTCTTTTTTATGTACCTATTAAAATGTTTTATTTAATAGGTATTTTACAAGTATGAAATTTCCATTAGGTTAGATTAGCTGTGACGTGTACATTTTTAAGAATAGGTAAAAATATATTTCGCCCCCCCCCCCCCCCCCCATAAGAGAGACCTAGGTACGCCACTGTCAGTACTAACATTAGTAATTGCTAAATAGTAAATACTATTTACTATTTTACCGTCATTACTGATTAGTAAGAAGTAATTGGTGCGGTGGCGGTACTGCACTTTCAAAACTAATGTTCTGGATTATTTGACATTAATTGTTATTATACATTTATACGAACTACAAACTCTAAATATTTTCTGGACGTTCATCGATAATTAATTAGGTATCACACCTTATTTCTCCACGGAGTTGGACAACACTAGTAATATTTATACATTTTTGTCCAAATTGGAACTGGACTACTGGAGTCTTTTACATTTTTTGAATTTTTTATAACATAAATGATTCACTGATTTGGTCGTTACAAGCGTCTCAATTGATTCCACGCCCCACACGTCGTGCGCGAAAAATGGATGTAGTCAATGAGAGTGAGTATAGAACATATTTTGTTGTATGTCCCGTTCAATCGTGTTAATCATGTATTTGTTTAGATTTCTATCAGTTGTTGCCAGAAATCAAACAGGCCATTGCTGAGTGTGATTTCATTGCAATTGATGGAGAATTCACCGGTCTTCACAATGGTACTATGGTCAGCATATTCGATACGGCAGCTCAGTACTATCAGAAACTCAGGAGTAATTGCATGGACTTTTTGATGGTTCAATTTGGTTTGTGTGCTGTCAAATATAATACTGAAAAGAAAAAGTACATTATCACTAGAAGGTTATGAATATTTAATGTATTTTAATATAATTTTTCTGTGTTTCATTAGGTTTACATACAGGGCGTACAATTTTTATACATTTCCAAAGCCCATGAGTCGATATGCTCCAGATTGCCGATTCCTCTGTCAGTCTTCCAGCATGGAATTTCTAAGCAATCACAATTTTGACTTTAATAAACTGTTTAAACATGTTAGGTAATTTACAATGTTTAATATTATTGTCTATGTTAAAGTAATAATTTTATTTAATAGGTATTCCTTTTCTTACTGTGCCTGATGAACAAGTATTGCAAAATGAACTACTTAATCGATATAAGCAAAATTGTTTACAGGCTCAGACACCATCAAAAGTCTCTGACTGTATACTTATACCAGACAACCATAAGGCAGATGTAGAAACTGCTTGGTAAATATATATTTTTGATATTTTTAAGTTTTATAATAAGTAGAAACGTAGAATACAAATTAGCATGTCTTTTACTACCTCAAAATATGATTCAATTATAATTATAATTATAATAAAAAAAAAATTAAAATATAATTAAGTTGGAATATCTCACTCTGTGAATGTACTTAAGTCCCAGTTTGTTAACGTACATTAACTACGGACAATAAATAAATATTTTAATGTCAACAATTGTAACTATGTACTGTATAATTAGCAGACAGACACAACGGTGATATAAGGTGTTCTAAACTTATGTTTAAGACACCTGTAACTAGAACTTAAATTATTATTAGTATCAATAACAATTATGCATGTAATTTGTATATGTTATACTACTTATATTAATTTAATAATACCTTTGTTGATAGTGAAAAAGTAAAAGAACTTTTAGAAAGTGAAACAATGTCTGAAGTCATCATAGCAGAGAAAACCAATTCTTTTGTCCGTAAACTTATCCATCAGGTTAGTTAATACATAGTTTATTTTTATTTAATAATATACCTATACGATTATTTATGCTAAACAATTATATTCAGATACCTACACTATAGTTAATTTGAGACAAAAATCACGCAATAATCCATACTTAAGTGACAATAGACTTATTATCTTATTGACTTATCTTATTATACAAAAATCGGGTACATATTATACACAAATCAGTACTAATAAGAAATGGTGGGCAAGTTAATGAAAATAACTAACTGTGGAAAGTTAAGTTAATTCAATTAAATTGCCTTCAAAGAAAAAAAAAAATTAACTAGATTAGTTTAAAGTTAAAATAAAAAATAAAATTAACTTATCTCAGTTAAAAAAAAAGTTAATATTTTGATGGTACAATATTTTTAAGTCATTAACCACCATAGTATTTTGTTATGAACAAACATTAACCAAGATATTTAACTCCGTGTAAAAAATTAGATTATTATAAATTATAATATATAATTCGAAAATAAATTACTAAAATCGTAAAAGAGTGGACGAATCAGTAGTATTGCCAAGTACCTATATTACGCATGACTTAAAAATAAAATTTACTTAACTGCATGACAATAATAATTAATTATAAAAAGTTAAGTTACAACAATAAAAATGTTAACTGAATAAGTAATAAGTTAAAAACTAAAATAATTAACTTTTTAACACTCCTTATAATTAACCAAAGCTGTATGATGAGCAATATTATAATGTTGACAACAACTTGTACAATGATATCGTGATCATGGAGCGATAACCACGATTTAAAATATCTTTAACCCTTAAATGCATATAGTTGCATTCATATGCAACGTTATGAATTTTATATATTCTGGCCTTAAAACTACTGGTATGCAGTTTGTGATTACACCATCGTATTCGTTAAATAATTCTGATTATTTTGTTATCTTATTTGTTTACTGTTACGTGTGTATTTTTTAATATAATATAGATAAGCTGGTCACTGCGTATTATTTTGTTGCCGATTATTATTAGCGACGAGTCTTTGAATTAGGTAGTCGATGTCCGCATGGGCGATGCAACTCCTCGCATCATTATCCATAGGTTACTATCACATAATTATCTTAAATCTTACTATCTTAGTTTATGGTTAATTATATTATTATAGTTATTATTATATTGTTACAGTAGGTATAATACTATTTTTCCAATATAATATTATACTCAAAACATAATATTATGGTGATTTGATGATAAATTATCTGTGGATGACGATGCAAGAATTGTCGTCGTGAGGACGTATATCTAACACCTCATTTGGTAACTCTTTGCCGATATCAGCAACATTTTTTTGTATTGGTATAATACCCTGTTGCTCCTTCAATAATATATTATTCACACTGAAGCACTAGCTGTACTTTTTCCTATGGTTAACAGCTATTTTTTTGGGGACAAACTGTGGGCGTCACTCTTGAGAACAGTAATTTGTTTCTATACGTCGTTGAGAATCAGAAAGGACACTCTAGATGTAAGCAAAATCATCCTAAGGCGCACAATTTATTCTTATCAGTTATCAATAGGGGTCAAAATGCCTGAAAATTCCGTTTTTTCCCAGAGCCTAGGAAAACGTGGAAAAATTGGAAAATATTAAAATAATACATTTCCAAAAAACCAAAGTTTTCGGAAAATAAAAAAAAAACGGAATTTTTGGAAAATTTAAAATTTAAATTTAAGCTTAAATATTAAAATAATCTATGTAAAAAAAACCATTTTCAAAAATATATAAGGAAACCTGTCATTGTCATTTCACATTTTCCAATACGGTTATATCAATGTATTTGTTGCCGCCACAGTACAATGATAAGTCACGCACGCGAGCACGGCCAGAACAAAGGTCGTGCCGGAGTCACATTCGAGTCTAACGAGACATAATCGGTCGGCGGCCGCGTGTTATGTAATATAATATAATGTGATATGCAAATATCGTTGTCGCCTGCTAGTCAGTCATACACTGTTCGTCGTCAGTACCGGTGTGTGTGTGTGCGTGTGCGAGTAGCCGTTCTAAAAGGCTCGCCCCACATTCTGTTAAAATAAAGATTTTAGTCTGTGAAAATAAAGATTTACGGTGTCGTGTGTTATCCGCTACGGACACACCGATTTTGTTTTGGCGTTGATGACCGTCGGCTTCGATAGTATGTACAAATTACCCATCGTCGTAATTATTCGCCGTGCGTAACTATTGTTGTACCTACTTCAACACGCGCGAGTTGTCCCCCGGTGCCGCCGTCATTCACGCCGGGAGTTCGTCAACCATTTCACGGGTCACAACACTCCACGTCGTCATTCCAGGGTCACGTAACGTTACCCAGATTATTATTTTCGTATGTTGCAAATTATTATTATGTTATGTAGTGAATTATTTTAGTCATAAGCTCCCACCCCTAGCCACTTAGCTGTTATAGTTGTAAGACGGTAGGAGAATAAAATTAATGTAATTTACATCGTGTATCAAATCTCTTTCTTGTCTCCTTTTTCTTACGGCTCACATTTCTTTACAAATATCGGTGGAGCAGGAAACCGTAATCTCCCTACTTCGGACCTGCTGCCCAAACAGTATTATTGTATTTAAATTTAAAACTAAACTATTAAAAATATTAAAACAGATATTTCAATATTTGTTCTAAAAATAACATAGTTACATATCAAATTGGTATTTATGTTAGAGGGTGTATTTCCCCGAAAATAAATCACATGTCTTTTTAAATGTTATATAATTAATATTACTTGTAAGTTTTAGAAAATATGTAGACAGCGCAAGATGGACAAATGAGTAATGACAATATTAATTAATAATTATTAGGAAAATACGACAACAAAACATCAATAGCAAAAATGCGGGATACAAAAATATATTTTTTATATTAATATAAATTATTTATTATTATTTTTCAATTTTTCAGGAAAAAAACCAGTTTTTTTCGTCAAAACCATTTTTTTCCGTAAATTTTAAATGAAAGCAAATTTTCCTATTTTTTCCGAAAAAAACGGTAAAAAACCCGGGCTTTTTTCGGAAATTTTGATTCATAGTTATCAATTTTCATTTGAAAGCGTTTTTTCATTTGTGGGAAACTGGCGTCCCACTATTAAAAATATATAAATAAGTTTAATTTTATGGACTGGTCACTCGTTAACAAAATGGCCATCACGATTTTCGGTTAGGCTTAATCATAATATGCTGTATGTGTTAATTCTTATCAGTGTCAGGGCTTTGTTTTGATCCATAGATGATAAAGATATGGATAGGCCATTGAAGCTTATCATGCGTTAATGTATTACCATCAATTTTTACGTTATGAGCAATTAGCATTTAAAATTTTGAATTGCACTATGAAAAAAAAACCATTGTGTAATATTTAAAACTTTAAAACCATATAACTTATATATTAGTATATATTATTAACTACATATTAATTATTTGAAGTTTGAACATAACCTTAAATAGTACCCCATGTAGGAGAGAGAACATTCTTAAAGATATTTTCTCTCACCCACAAAAAAGAACTTGAAATCATACAGTGTTAATATAGCCATGGCCCATCCATATTTTTTATTATCTATGCTTTGATCGTGGTGAAAACTCATAACCGTGTGGAGAACAAATAATGATAATAGTGAACAATGATTACTGACAAGGCCGAGTGACCACCGACCACAGCACGATTAAAGATAATATGGTCGCCCAACAAATCTTGAAATGAGTCTACCCAATTGAACCTCTATAAACAGTTACCATTCATGTGTAAATTGTAGTTGCTTGATAGTCACTTTGACAAATAAGCTCTAGTGCGTAAGTTGCCAGCTGTTTATACTGATTATAGAGATTAGAATCTATATAATAAACATTTTAACAATGTTATTAGCATTTTATGCTTCATTAATCATAAGTATTGTGGCAACGCACATAAACACCACGCACTATAAACAGCGCACTCTGGTTGTTCGCCTCAACTGGCTCAGGTACCGACAACTGAATGGCGAACTCTTCCTCCAACATCTACCCAGTCCCGTTACCCACATATCGAGAAGATATATAATAGGGCCCGAACACCAGACCAAATATTTTCACAGACGACGGCCGATCAAATATTTGAGAGAGGCGCCTTGAGAGTGCGCACAATGACACTCACACGATTGCCGAAGGTTATGGGGCACGTACAAACGGATTCCGATTTAGTCCAACGTGTGTAAACGACACCGGTGGTAAATGGTAAAGGGCAAAATTAACACAAAGCGCAAACTGGTGTGTTCCGACAGTATGGTAGAGACAAAAAAGACGAGAAATGCAGTCGGTGGCAAGGCCCACCGGTACCTTGTCGATTTTTTACTTAGTACAGAGGGTTGGATGGCATTGCAAATAAACGATGACTATCCGCAGATTAAATTTTATCGAGATATAATGGCCATGTCGAAACATTACTTTTGAAGGTTATTTAATTTTTAGTTTATGGAGTTCACTTTAGTTACTATTCTAATATAAGCGAAGTATTCCTCCTTACGTTATCATAACATTGTATAGTTATCTAATAATATATGTGCGTTATTACTATGGGCCGTCGATAAAATTTTTGGTTGCATAATAGCATGAGATACGGAATACATTTGGTAGGCACTATCGTGAGTCTATCGTCGTGAATAAACGCTGCATAGGGCACCTCTGACGTCGGGAGGCGTACAGGTGCCTAGGTGAGCTACCAACATCCTTCCGACTTTAATGGATCAGTCCGTGTCAGTCCGGTCCGGTCATGAAGGACACCGGCACTGTTAAAAACTTGCTGGAAAGAAACTTCTTCATGACCGGCGTATTCTGCGATAACGAATAAATATTATGTCATGATGATTGATTACATTAGTTATGATCTCTAACTCTAAAGTTTAGGTGATCTAAGGCTGCGCGTATATACTGTACTACCACGTACCACCTAACTAATTAACGGAAGGACTATGCATCGACGGAAGCTAGAGACAAATCTATA